CTGAACTGCTTGTTAATAGTTTGGGCCGATGGATAATTTGACAAATAAGATTAGGCAGTACTTCTGTGCGTGTGAATGTTTGCAAATGATGTTTAGTTAGAGTAGAGAGTAGAATAGGCAAGAAGGAGAGTAGAAAGAAGAGAAGTACAAAATAAAAGGCTTTACAGTTATTTTCAAGGAAGGATAGTTGGACAAGTGGAGATAAGTTAAGATTTTGTGTGTCAGGAAAACAAAACTGGTCCACTGCACATTTTAGGAACAAAATAATTATTGAAGATCTGGTTTAGTAAAACAGCCCTATGCTTACAGTGCCCTCACACTAGGCAGTCGTACTCTTGGTCAATCGTTTCTTTGTTAAATAATATATGAAATCTTCATGATTTGGTGATATTGAAATGTACACAATGGTGCAACAGCCTTCTTTTGTACATCCTTTCTCCCCATACACCCTCACTGACAAAGATATCCTGTACCATACAAGAGATGTGCTGTTTCCCCACTGGTGCCTATCAATCCTCACAGATTCTGTTCTTTGCAGGTTATACCCTTGAGCAAGGTGGTTTAACATTACCTCCATTTGGCCCCAACTCCCTAAGCTGTCTTCTTTTGGGTTGAGAAAAACATCCCTCTGGGTTTGTTCTTTATTGCTGTTGCCAATTTGTCACTGATTTATTATGTAACATTGACATTCAAATCACACATGTACACACACATTGATGCTACTGTGAAGGAGGTCTTTTTCATTCATCAGATTCTGGTTCATTAAAAAAACAGCAGAGGTCATGGTTTAAACCCCGTTATGAGTTGAGTGGTTTATGAAAAGGTCATTGGACCCTTGGCCTTGTCAACAAGTCAGTTGCTAAGACACAGGTATAAGAACCAGACATTATTGATCGCATATGTAGACTTTTCACAGCAACGTGTTTTTCCCTTCTCTTTGCTCCTGTCCGTATGTCCTTTCAAAGGGTCAGTTCTATTAAACCTATACAGTGTTAACGTTTAATGGGTTTCCGGGTCACTTCGTTCTATAAAAAATTGCCCTCACGGTGCCCCAAGCATGTCACCAACTTTAAAAACTTGCAGGGAAATCGATCTTTCTATATTTGAGATGATATTGTATGTGAAAAGACTAGCGAATAATTTCAAATATTACAAGGACTGCTGAGAGAATGATTTTAAAAGATACGGACACGTAAGCCGACATGGTCATACATTTTAGTGCAGCTAGTCCATACATTACAAGCTAAAATCTTAGATTGTAGATTATCGAGGACTTAATTTCTTGTCATCAAGAGATATTTTTTTCATTTCGAGAGACTAAAGATATTCTTTGGAGAATTTAATGAAGTGAAGAGCCTTTGTAAGAGCATCGCTTACATACCAAGCTATATAAGTAACATGTTTAAAAAAGGTTTACAAACTCTTCAGGTCGCACCTGCTGTAAGAAGTGTGTTGTTTTGTCAAACTCGTAATGAGCCTAAACGCTCAGGGAAGGTGGGTGGTGTAATATTGAGCATCTTATTCTCACGCTACAGAAAATTATTTTTAGCTCAATTGAACGAGAAGTACTACATACAAACCATGACAGTGTTTTCACAGTTCTTTCATTAAAGATCCACTTGTAGCTGCACATTCCTCTTAATTATCTTCTCATCATTTCTGACAATTGATGAACAACAAAAACTACAATTTCCACATAAGTCAGATCTACACCATGGGTGTACACTTCCTGTTTTTTTTTTTTGGTGAAATAGAATGTCATTTCCTTTTATTATGTCAATCAGATTTAAAGTCTCTAAATCAAAAGCAGATAGACATTATTTTAGGATAGGTGATAATGATGTGTTTCTCTGCTCTTTGATGAAGAGAGAGATGCTGGCTGGTGAATTTGTGCAAATGGAGTCAGAGGACACTTTGTCCTCAGCAATTTTTGAGAATATTTATTTTCCAAATATAAAGAACAATATCTTTAAAATGTCCTACTTGCACCAACTATACAACCAAACACAAGTTAAAGGTAATATATAAGCAGTTATATGGACAGCAATACTTCTTGCATTTATTTTTGTTTATAGCAGTAATAATATTTGTCTTCTCTACTTTTTGGATTGGCAAAACCTATTAAAGCTTTGTTTTACATTATACAACATTATACAATAGATATGAGGTTTCTCAGTTTTAAACTTTGACACAGCTGAAAACAGAAACCTATGTTGCTGCATGACAAAACGGAAAAAAGATGTTATCACTTAACAAAGACTTTCCCTCTAAAATCAACCTGCTTATATTTAATGCCTGAACATTTTAAAGTATTTTATGAGAGGAGTCTAACAGGAACAACTAGTTTTCATCAGTTTGGCACCGACACACCAACACTTTCCCTTTCAAACTCACTAAAATCATTGGTTATAAATCTGTAATTCCACAGACCAGAGATAAAAGTACTACACAAAATTTAAATCATGTTTGTGTCATACATATTATATGAAGACAACATTGTGCTTTTTGTCCTTCTTTCTCACTTGCACACAAACAGACACAGTTACATACAGAGTTTCTTGGTGTTATGTCACACTGCCTGTAATTCTGGGCATAAATCTTGTCAGTCAAATATTTGAGAAAGTTTGATTTGAGTGGTCCAGTGGTAGTTTTTTTGCATTCTACTTCCTCTATCTTTATACATCATTCAGTAGAAAAGAACTAGCACCTCCTGTGGGATACGGTGCTTCTTTAACAGGCACAGGAAGTACATCCTCCTCTTCTTTCAGCTTTTCTCTTTAGGGGACGCCACGGTGGATTATCTATCTCACCCTATTCCCTGCATCCTCTGCTTTAACACCAACCTCCGGGCCCTGTTTTACCACATCCACAAATCTCCTTTGAGGTCTTCCACTCCTCCTTCCTGGCAACACCATCTCCAATGTCCTTTGTCCAACATCTCCACTATCTCTCCTCAACACGCGTCCAAACCATCTCCACCTCTCCTTTCTAACTTTATCTCCAAACTTTCCCTCTGATCTGCTCATTTCTGATCCTCTCCATCCTGGTGACTCCCAGTGAAGATCTCAGCATCTTCATGTCTGCCTCCTTCAACTCAGCCTTTTGTCTATAAGACAGATATTATCAAACTACCAAGTCTGCAATGAATCATAAATACTATTATAAGTAATTTATTTTTTAATGTAAGTGACTTTTCAAAGCAGGGTGGTCTATATTAATTGTGACCTACAATTGAGCTGTATAATAATTAGGTACCACAATGTTAACACCTTGTTATAAGAAGATGAAAAAGTCTACATACGGGAAAAAAAAAGAAAAGTCTGAGAACAAAAGGCTTGTAAAAGGATGTTTACTTTGGGCTTTTACAGGGGTTAGGCAGCAATGTGTACAGATTCTGCAAAGGTCTTAATGAAAGTCTGAGTGCTTCGTGAACATGGAGGTTCCTCTGGTACAAATCAATGCAGTCCTTTGTTGCACAGAAAGCAGCCAATCCCAAGGCCTACACAGTCTGACGTGGTTCTGGCAGACTCTGACAAGCATTTAATGACGTGTCACTGTTTTAGACAGGTAATCAATTTATTTAGGCAGTAATGTATGTATCCCAGGATAAATCTTTAATTAATGTCCAGAAAGAAGAGGACATTTGTGATGCAGGAGGAAAAGAGCTGTTGGACTCAGGTTGTCTATTAGGTAGCATCATAAATCCTTTAATTTTTTAAAAAGTATACTGCAATTTTTTCATGTCCGATACTGACACTGCAAATTAGAATTCTTGCCAATACTGTATATCAAGCTGATACCTTATTTTCTCCTGCCATTGCTGTAGTGATAGTATCCCTGTTTATGGCATGTTGCGCAAATCGAACTATAGTTGTTTTTTGCGATGTTCCATCCTGCAATATTGACCAATATCTAATCCTGAGTATCGGATCGAGAGTTCTCTAATTATCAGCAATACCTTGATATTTTAATCATTATGAGTTTCCTTGTCTCTGTGCAAGCTTGTCTTCACAGAGATGACCCTAGTGAGCTGTTTCATGTTTATATGTTTATATCTCTTTTTGTTCAATTTGCTACATTAAGGGATCAGTGCACTATAATGTAGCAAAGCTAACATTGAGGAATCAAGTATAGTAGTAGCCTTTACTTCTGAAATTAAAATATGGACTAAATGAAATGGCATTAATAGTTGTTCTTTTTTACTGTCTGTGTTTTCTTAAGTATTCTTCCCTTAGCTAACTGCAACATAACTTGATTATTTAAGTTAGAAGTGATTAAGACACCATCAGACAGCACGAAGAATTAAAGTACAATATGTTCATTTATTCCTGGTCAGCTGACAGCTTTAGTTGGCGTTCATTGATTAATCTATTAGGCATTTGAAGGATTTGTGAGAGTGGATCGAATTGAATCGGATTATTAGAGTTCACTTGCTTTTTCCTTAGTGAAGTGTATATGCAGGTCTTACAAGACCTCAAACCTATATGAATATATATTTACTGAAATAATTAACAACACATTGTTACTGAAAAGTGTTACTATTAGATAATTTCATCCATCACCATAGTGATGGGGAGCAGTGAATGCTGACGGTGTCAAGCTCAGTGCACCTCAGGGGCAATTTGGCAACTGCTGGAGTCTGATATCTTAACTGCCCCACTATGTGCATTTTAGTAAAAACAGTACACATATTATAGCTTAACAATGAATTCTCATTATCTGTAATTATTATAAATTTGTTCATAGAAATAATCACAATCAATATTTATCCAGTGAATTGCCTATCTAAACATTTTCATGTATTAATAATATTTTCGACAGACATTTCTACACTGTTTTTTTTTCTAAATTCACATGACCTTAACTTAAATGTCAATAAAATGGCAAAAACAAAAATGTTTTAACTGAAACATCAGACATTTAAATGGGTGGTTTTGAAACCTTTATTATTCTAAAAGGATGGTAATAACATTTAGATTTTGCTCTTTTTTTTATTGCAGATGATACTGCGTCTAGTAGGACTGCAGCCAAATTTCTTGGAGGGTACTGGAGCTTTTCCTGGATGTCTGAATATGACCTGAGCTTTCCTAATGACTCCATCATGTCAGGTAAGTGAAATATTGTCAGCTGTCCAGATACAGATGTAAACTCTCAAATGTATCTTTGCTCTCCAGTGACATACTGCACTCCATTGTAAAAGCTCAATGTGTTGGTCCCCCTGTTAAAGGCTTACTTAGGTTCTCTAGTAGGCAACTCTGCTAAAAGTCTAGTGTCTTGTCAATGGCTCAAATAGCCCACATTGTAAAAGGGTTTTATTTTAAGATGGAAGTTGTTTTGTTTAAAAACAGTTATGTGACAGTTAAGTACTGTGTGTCTAGTAGGGATGGCTCAATCAGATATTCAGGATCGGTATCACTCTGATATTGGTCATGATTTATGATTCATGCCTGATCTAAAGTAATGAACTTACACAAGTGGTAAAGAAAAGGAACAGGGTGGAATGGATGGACACAAGTAATGGGTGAGTTTCATTGACTGAGCTATGCTGTGAAGTAGGTTTGATAGTGTCTCTGTCTAATAGACAAAATTCTGAGCTGCATGTGGCAATATTGTAACGAAGATGCTAAGCTTGTTCCTGGGAGTGACCAAAGAAGCTTAGAAAGGTGTGGTTGATGTGCTTTAGAAAGGTTCTGAGGAGAGATGGTGACTATATTGGGCTAATATCAGAGATTGAGATGCCAGAAAAGAAAAAAATGTTGATAACAATATGGCTGTAATGGAAAAGAACATAAAATGGCTACTGTAGCAGTAGTCAAAGAGTCGGATAGGGAGAGATAGAGGCAGATGATTTGCTACAGGACCCCTGAAGGGAGAAGCTGAAAAAAATAAATTCTTTATTTATGTACTGATATAAATATTCCTTTCACAACATCAAGTATGACACTATTTTTATGAGTCTCAATATGTGACAAAACATTGTCAATAAAAGCACCAATATGCCAAGCATGACAAACATCACTGTACGAAATGCTGTTGTGCCTGAAGACAGATATTTGACAGCACGGTGTCTATCAGAACTTTGTAAATAGAGACGACAGAAGCAAAACTTTATTTTAAGTAAAGGCAAATACAGCAGAAAAGAGAAGTACTTGTTCTTTAAGGACATAACACAAAAATATTTTACAGTGCCCCCTGTCTTGTGCAAGTGGAGACAGGTTTATTTCATCTTCCGCTACTGGATTCAGGGGTTATCTGATTGACCCCTGCCCGGATCTCACTCACTTGTGCCTTGCCTTGTATTTTTACCAAATAGTCTTCATGTCCTCCTTTGCTCCATCCATTGATCTTTTCTTTCTCTATGCTATTTGTTTTGCAGCTACGTCTGCAACATCTTTTAGCAAAAACAAAAGTTTCTTTACATAAAAACCAAACCACCTTTAACAATTTCCAAACTGTTACACATCACCTTTTCTTCTCATACAGTAGAACCGTGGTTGTTGAACGCCTCCCTTTTTGAACAATAGGGTTCACAAACAAAATTTTTAATCAAAAATTGCCCCGGTTGTCTTACCATAACTTGGTTCCCGAACAAGTCAAGAATATCATGTGGGCAGCAAGTGATCACTGAGTGACTGAGCGTGTGGCGTCAGTCTTGCCTCAGCCCACACTCAGGATATACACGCTAAGAACTGTTGTCTGATTTGGCCCATATTTCTTGCACTGTGCTATTTTTTTTATTTATTTATTTTATTCCGTAAATCACCATTCAACCTAAAAAAGCTAGTGAAAGTGGAAAGACGAAAAGAAAAGTAGTGAGAGCAGCAATAGAACTGAAGAAAGATTATACGAAGACATGAGAATGGTGCTCGTGTTTCAGCTCAGGCTTTACAGCATGGCATAGATATCATTAAGAACAAGGAAGCAGTAAAAAAAGCTAAGGTTGCCAAAGGAGTTACTGTGGCAGAAATGGTAAATAAAACTGGTAGACATACAGTAATTGGCTGATCACCGGTTCCCGCCAAATTGCACGCCTAATAACAACCATGTTCTTCAAAATTGGAACCAGCAATCGCCCTATCGCTCTCTCCTCCTTAAAAAAAGACCTCTATGGTAGCATAGTTGGGCTTCTATTACTTTTACTATTTGATCTATCGATCAAAAAACTCGCAACACTCAGGAGTCCCCTCGGGCCAACTAAACATTAAACCACATACACTAAAACTCCAACTGTCATCAAACAACACACACAAAAAAAATTACACCAACACCATTACACCATTACACCAAAACTCCAGCTGTCATCAAACAACACACACAAAAAAACTACAACATGTACTGTATATGTGTAATTGTCATAGATACTTATACACTAATCTGGACCTTGGTTTCCCTGCTTCAATGGTTTCCTATTGCATTAATCTGGGCTAGCCTCAGTGAATTGAGTTTTTCAGATGGCCAAGAGGTCACACTATTGACTTATTGCTGTGCTGGCACTTATCTCCTTAAGGCTCTCTGCAGATACAATGATCCAGGAAACATCCTACTATACCTACAAACAAGTTAACAAGGAAAAAAAGGGGTTCAATAATAACCAGACTGAAGAGGTCATCCTGGGCAATGACTGGCATTTACACAAAACAGAAGAGCTTTAAACCAAAAGTAACCAAATGCATGAATGTAATACTGCCCTCTTCCTCAACTAAGATGGTACAGTACAGCGTTTGACTGAGACACTGAACAAACACTGAATGAATAAGCATTGAGCTATATGAGAACAAATCCTTGTGTTGACGGTCATTATGTAGAAACTGTGATGCAAAGACACTCAACACCTTGCAGTCTCCCTCGGTGCTTTCTGCCTTTTTGCTGCACTTTAGAGGAAATCTGTCCTCAGCTACTGATCATAAAACAAAGATTAATTTCATTGCTTCGTGTGAGGATGATTGAATGTCTGTAATGAAATGTTGTTCAAAGCACGTCAATCTGACAGGAGTTAGTACTAAAGCAACATAGAGGCAATAAAAATATATGACTGAAAACATTTCTTGGTACATTTGTTATTGGTTGTTATCTTGATACTTGTGGAAACTGTAGTCTGGCCCTATATGCATTCAGTCTGTGCTGTAGTCAGAGACTGATGCCCTCTCACATGTGTCTTTGAGTTTTTCTGTCACAGACGTTATTGTTGATCCTTACTCTTATTTTACTCACCTGGCTTTGCAAAACTAAGTCCCTTCATATCCAGTCTTTAAGGCAGCATTTTTGCTTTAAAGTCAGATGCAGATCTAAGCTTCAAGGCAGGGCTGCTACAGTATGACTGCCTTTGAGCAGCACCACCACTGTACAGATTATCCAGCAATTGATTATTAAAATAACAGCCCAAAGAAAAACTGTAAATATGTATACTTGACTGAATGTTCATCAATACATTTTCCTGCATTGGAATATGTAAAAAAAAAAAAAAATTAAAAAAATTATTGACATTCTTCCCACTCTTCATCTATTTGTTTACTGTTAAAAAGGACAATACTGTTTTTCTCATTATAATCAACCCTTATGGACATGCAGCCAATACGGTTGACAGTAGGCTATAAAAAGAATCAACTCATTAAAAAGTAGAGTTGTTGTTGTTTTATTTTATTTTTATTATTTTATTAAAGTTTTAAATGTGCATTATAATAAATTATAATGCATGTAACCAGAATGATCTGGTAACCAGACAGAAGTTGTGTGTTAGAATCAAATGGAAAAAGAAAAAAAAAAAAATTCAAGGCAAGTATGTAGAAGTCCAAGTTAGATTGTTGGCCTCGGGGTTGTTTGCAGTTAAAGGTAGAGGGCAGGCAGACATGCATATGATAAAGTCAGATGTTTTTTGAGTTGAGATAAAAGATAAAAAAGAATCAATGACAGAAGCATCAGATGTGATGGTCAAATTGATCTGCCATTATAAATAGAAAATGTATTTTATTCATTGCTCATTGCACATCAGACAGCTTTTGGATATATCAGGTTTCATTTTCTTATTACAGTATTTCTCATTGTATTTTTAACTTATTGGATGTCTTGGTTTTACTTTGGTCTTGTTTACTCTTTATATTGTAATTTGAGAATTAGACAGACGTGCTGTGAGGCAAGATGCAAGGTTCGGTAGTGTTTAGCTACTTTATGTTAAAGAGTTTAATAGACAGTAATGAATAATACAGACAATGTCTCCATGTTAATCTGAATCTGAATGTCTGAGGTGGGTCAGTCGGGCAGTGGCCAGTAAAAGAATGAGCTCAGGAAGATGTTTGGTCAAGAAATAGGAAAAATGCAGTCATTATGTTTATGTAACATTTCTATATTTTATTTTGCATTACCTGATCGCAATTCAATGTGCCATGCCTGAACTCAAACATATCAAAATGAAGTTGGTGTTTTGTCGCACTTGTTTCTTTCTGGCATAAAACAATGAAACACATATTGTGTGTAGATGTGTAATTCTCTACTTGTACTTTGGTCTGTATTTGTATTGAAACAACTTTGTGTTTTATGAATCATCATTTGTTATAAATCATTTTGAGTCTGTGAAGATTCTCATAAATCCAGGTCATGTTATTCAAAAGAGTTTAGTTGTTTGCAACTAGACTTCTTCTTAGAGAAACATTTTAAGCAATCTGTTTCCTTTATATTGTATGACCTTAGCAAAGTTTGAACACAATAATTTTGCCAAACACTAAGGTAAAATAAATGCAAAAAAAGTCACTGTGTTTGTTCAGTAAACATATGGCGTGAACAAGTGTGTTGATCCCACCCTCATTTGACTTAATGAACAGCACAGTTCCACTACGGCTACGTAACCATTTGATAACTGAATGTAAATCAGCCTTCACTTCCACCGTATCTTCTGCTTCTTAATTTGTTCACATTTCTTCACCTCTTCTTCTCTCCAGTGGCTTTAGGCTACAGCACTGTTTTTTTATTTTAATTTTGTTACCAAATAAGATGTTTTCCCCAAGGAGACTATTCCGCTTTAGTGACCGAGAGGTACCACTGCAGGGATTCAGCTTAAGGCAGCCTTCTCCACAAATGAGTAGGTTTGTAATTTAAGTGAAGCCTAACACGGTCTTGATAAAACCTCATTAGATAAAGTGATAATCATTTAGTAAGTTTAATAATTTTGGATTCTCTCTGACCCTGGGTCTAAACCAATAAATACCTTCAAGCAACATACTGTAACTGCACTTTGAGTTTGTTGGTTTTTGAGTCTTGCAATCATAAAGTTGGTGCTCTTTCCGTGAAGGGAATAAAGATGACACAGAAGTGGAGAATACATACACAGTAGTCGAACTGACAGTATTTTATACACTATGCCTTTAAAGGAACTCTAAAAAGTTCCTTTAAAGTCCTAACAGATTTCATTTAACAAGACAGATGGATGAGTCTATGTGTGGTCTGCCAATAGTGATGTAAAAGACAGATAGGGACGAAGATGACTAAGAGGAGAGGCAGCGTTTGATTTGTCCCTGTGCAATTTGTAGGGAGTGAAATGATGTATGTGGTATCAGCTTAAAAATGATGCCAATGTTGTCAGTGCTATTATAAATCACACCTACTGTATATGTTCCATCAAATACACCACACTAAATATGTAAAAAAATATGTAATGTAAAAAAATATATTTTCTCCTACTTGTTGTTTGTACCAACATAAAACACATTGTTTGAAATATATGAATTAAAATGTTTGCGTTTTTTTTTTTTTTTTTACAGAAAACCAGTGCCATGGGAATAAAAGAACATGTGTCCAGCAACAAGAAGGCATACCAGAGTTTACATGGAGCATAGTGGCTGCTGGGGACCTGCAGCAAGAAATGAATGGAAGGAGTGAGAAGAAGACTGGAAGTCCACAGGGATGGGAGGAAGGTAAGACTGAAGGTATCACGACCCCCTTGGTTGGGGAATCTTCATATTTCATCATACAAGTGCGCCACAGTCTACATTGCTTTTCATAACATTTTTTCCAGCACACTTTAACTCTATTTTTAAAATAATATTTCTCAAAACCATTTATTGTAGCATTGCGTGTCTGCCTCAGTCTGCTTTGGGCTAAGCAACCAATTATTTTCATACGGAAACAAACTGATATACACACACACACAACACTGAGTAAATTCACCTTCCCTAAATTGGTGAGAAGGTAACAGTAAACTGGAATTGCCCGTTATCCAAAATGCCTTAAAGTTTTCTGAGCAAAGAAGCAGAATATAAGTTTTGAGCCCCTGCTTACATGCCCTCCATAGTTTTTTTAAAACATATTCTTACTTTTTTATTTTTAAAAAGTTATTTTTGCATATCCTTCAGTGAGATATAGTAAAAAGGAAACAGAAGTCAGTTATTGACTCAGATTTCATTTCTTTACTTTATTACTTTTGGAGTCACAAGTCTACGGCCCTGTATGTAAATGAGCAAGTGACATATTTATAGATTAGACATAATAGTTGGTTCCAGTTTAGATGAAACTTATGATACATGTCTGTCCTTCATGTGGAGGAGGTGCATGTAAGGCATGTAAGTGGATAAGTGCATATATATACATATATATATATATACATATATATATATATATTTATATATGTATATAATGCATATAATATTGTGGACAATCACAGTGCCTGTGATTGTCCACAATATTACTACATATTGGTGTGACATCAGTAGACCATTCTGTTGTATGTGGTTTGGACAACAGTTTTGTTCATTCCTTGATCTGCATTATAAATATGAATGAATAAAAAAACATTTATTGGAGGAATTACTATTGTATGGAAAGTGGATATTAAAGCATCTGATGTAACACAATCACGTAGATACAAAGACTAAAACATAGAAATGTTTTATCAAAATGTATCAGGTGAACAGGCTACAGAAGCAAATGTCTACTTTCGCCAAATATCAATGTTAAACTTTAGTTAAATACATAATAAAAAGATTTAGTTTAGTTAAATATGAAATTCATCTGGGCATAGAAAGATTTATACTAATAATATACTACTAATTTAAACTGTTACCGATACTTCAGTTGTGATCACTTTATCCTAAGATCAAAGTTTTAAAACCAACATCAAAACTAAATATACTTGGTTAATTAAAATTACCTTTGGAGAAGAGCAGTGAAACCGAAGACAGAACATGCAGTATATATCTCTGTGTAGGTTTTCAGTCATGCTGGTCATTTAATCCAAAAATGGTTACATCTATTCAGAACTGAAGAAGCCTTTCGAATGAGAGGTGAAACGTCTTCGGTTGCCCTCGATGTAACTATTTTTGGATACAGTATATATCCATCTCTAAAGCTACATAGGTGTTTTCTCTTCGCTCAAAGTCGATGGTCTGACTGAGACTAGATACTTCTTAAGGGGCTTCTGTTTTAAATGTAAGGACTGTATTTTGTTTTCACTCAACAGTATACAGTAACTAGGATTT